CGTCTTGTCAATCCAAGTCTCGTCGGTACATGCACATCACACCGATTGTCGTCGTGTGGTGTCACGCCTCCCCATCCTTAGCCAGTGTCTACTGATATCCAATGAAGGCGAAGATTGAGTATATGAACCCAAATCCTTCGCACTTCTCTTCCTCCCCAAATGCAAGATTTTTCAGTTGCCACTTCTTTGGAAGGATATAGTGTCCATCAAAGGTCTAAGTTTTCCCCCTTAGAAATCTCTATCTTTGTCTTCGTCCAATTAGAACGGGAATTAAAACTTATAAGCCCTCAGGTTCCTGACTCCCTACCAAATACGACCTGAAACGCCCCTGGTATGATCGAAGAATCAAACACACAACAAAAACGAAAACGCAAACAAACAAGGGGAACAAACAAAGAGAAGGATAGAAAAACTGAACACCTTACACTGTCCAAAATTCTATAACTACGGACCAAGAACACCCAACCAAACCCCTACTCACCCAGAAGAACGGAGGAAAACAACTAACAAACACGCACTAGACACAGAGAGGGCAATTCAACAAGTGGAACTCAGGCACGAGAGAGACTGAAATTTATTCATGAAGAGAACTCGGCTGAATCGTTCTAACCTTATCTCCACTGGAATTTAAGTATTCATTTACTTGTACTATACAAACACTTACAATTATGTAACACTAGAAGGTCCCGATTGTGCACCGCACTAGGGCTGCAAACGACCCGAGCCGAGTCGAGCATTGACCTTATCGAGCGGATTGAATTTTTTTTTTTGAGGTGCTCGAGCTCGTCGAGCTCGATTTTTGGTGCTCGAGCTCGACTCGATCAAAACATATAAGAGCTCGAGCTCGACTCGAGCTCGACTCGAATTCATAATGCTCGAGCTCGGCTCGAGTTCGGCTCGAATTTTTTCAAAAAATTTTATAAAATAACCATTAATTACATATATATACAAGTGTATTTCAGTAATTTCACATATCTCGATCCGTTCGCGAGCCGCTCGATAATGCCGAGCCGCTCGATAATGCAATATATGGGCTCGAGCTCGACTCGAGTTCGTGCTCGAGCCGCTCGAGCTCGACTCGAGATCGGTCAAACTCAAGCTCGAGTCGAGCTTTGACTCGAGCGCTCGCAAGTTGCTCGACTCGTTTGCAGCCCTACATCGCACAACCAAAAGGTATTTTAGCCCATGTTATATTAGGCTACCCAAGAATTAATCTTATTTTGGCCCAAAATAAATCATATTATTTTAAATTAAATCAATGGTATTTATTTGAAAATAGTTTAAGTCTCTTCTCGCTTTTCATTTTAGCTCATTATGTCATTTTCCGTATTCTTTTTCTGTTTACATTATTATATTATTTAGTTAATAAAATTTATTTAAATAATTTTACCTGAGGCAATAATTGTTTGCGATAGACTTCAATTAGAATATTTAGTATGCAGTTAAATTTAATAATTTTACAATTTATTTATATATTTTATTAGTTTTTAAATAAATGGTATTTCGGTATATAAAAAAATGTAATACCAAGTCTGGCATGCTCAATAAAATGATATATGAACCTTAAATGACTTGTCATACAACAAGAATAAAGCGATTAGTATGTCGTCTTATGGCAATCATTTTAATAAAAATATTATTTTTTTCTAAGTAAAATTCGAGTATATGATAAAAAATATATTTGCATTTAAAAAATAATAATTAATTGAATAAACGTTATAATTTGTCATGTGTAAAAGAGGTTTTAATATAATTCACAAGTTTTTTACAGAGGTCCATATAATTGAATTTTACTCTTCAAATAGAACATCCATAATTTAATATTAATTAATGCGTGATTTATGTAATTTTTATATTAATATTTCAAAATTGATTTTAGACATTTATTAT